AAACCTCTCAAAAAAAAAAAAAATAGAATAAGGCTTCCTTCTTGGAAACACCTTTTGTAGCCTCTTTTTTGGTCTCTTAACTTGATCAAGTTCCCCTCCCATCATGGAAGAAACTGCCGTGGCTGCAGACTAATAGAAATGCCTCTCTGTAGGCTCCTAGGTAACGCTCTAATACAGGATACAGCCTCCCTTGCTACACTCTTTGAAAGCAGTACAGTGCCCTAGTCAAGAGTACTCTGGACCCACAATACCTGGTTCTGAATCCCAGCACTGCTGCTGTTGGACCATGACTACGTTACTTCAGTTGCCTTACCTTACCCTTGTGATGGGGTTACTAAGCCTGCCTCATAGAGCTGGTTGGAATAAATGAGTAAATATAAGGGGACTTCAAAAAGTTTATGGAGGGTCCAGCAGGTGGCATGGTGGTTAAGTTGCTGGACTCCCACGTGGTGGCTCACTTTCTCTTTCTCTGTCTCTGATCAAATTAAAAATAATGATAATAATAAAATAATAATTTTTGGAGAGATTTTTGCCATAGGGCGCATGCACTCACCAGATAGAGACAGTGAGACAGAAAGCGAGAAATCACCCCCTAGTAGGGAAGGCCGCGCCACAATCCCTTCTCCTCCATTCTCCTCTCGGGATCTTGGGCACACACGCACGCACACGCGCTCAGTGTGAGTTTTAAGCCACCGGGTCCAGGATGCAAACCACATTCAACTACATGGGAGTCAAGCAACATAACCATTACGCTAACTACTGGTACCTAATAAAATAATTCTTTAATTAAAAAAAATACATATGGAAAGGGGCCAGCAGGTAGCATAGTGGTTAAGGCACTGGATTCCCACATGGCTGACTGTGGTTTGAGTCCCAGACCTAGGGACCTGCTTTCTCGCTTATTTCTTTCTCTCTCACTTTCTCTCATCAAATTGAAATAAACTAATTAATTAAAATAAATAATTATCTTTCAATAGTCTGTGGAAAAATGGAATTAAATAATGAGTTTATGGGACCGGAAGATAGTATAATGGTTACATCACTGGACTCCCACATGGCTGACCGCAGTTTAAGTCTCAGACCTGGTGGACTGAAACTCAAGCTAGGCACATGCGTACGCATGCCCAAAATCCCAAGAGAGAATGGAAAAGAAGGGACTGTGGCATGGCCATACCCTCTGGGGGATGATTTCTTGCTTTCTGTCTGTCTTCATCTCTCAGGAAAGCATACATGCCCTATAACAAAAGTATCTCTCTCAAAAAAAAAAAAAAGCATGAGTTTATTTTGGTATAAAGAAATTTTAAAATCAATTTATAGTTTCTTCATAATACACATTTTCCATGAACTTATTGAAGTCCTACCCCCATAAATGCCAAGTGCTGAGAACAGTGCCTACTTAGCACATGGCAAGTAAGTGTTCCATAGCAGCTATTATCATTGTTGTGTTTGTTTGTTTGTTTTTGGAGAGGTTTTTGCTATAGGGCGCGTGCACTCACCAGACAGACTTGAGAGAGGCAAAGAGACCAAAAATGAGTAATTGCCTCCCAACAGGGATGGCCAGGCCGCAATCCCTTCTCCTCCATTCTCCTCTCAGGATCTTGGGCATGTACACACACGCACCCAGCATGAGTTTTAAGCCACCGGGTCCAGGACGTGAACTGCGGTCGACTGTGGGAGTCCAGCAACATAGCCATTATGCTAACTGCTGGTCCCCCCCATGTTGTGTTTTCTTTAATCAAATATATCCTGTCATCCAGTCCATGACAGAGTATGAATATCTGTCTGGTGAGTGAAAGAATAATAAATGGTCCCGTGTTTCCTCATCCAGATCATCTCTGAACACCTCATCATGGCATGGTTTTAGATCTAAAGCTTCCCACAAATCTTTGCTGATGCCTTATCTTTTGTTGAAGATATCAACACTCTGACTTTTTTTTTTTTTTGAGAGGTTTTCGCTATAGGGCGTGTGCACTCGCCAGACAGACAGACAAAGACCTAGAGACAGAAAGCGAGAAATCACCCCCCCAGGGGGGATGGTCACTCCGCAATCCCCTCTCCTCCATTCTCCTGATCGTGGGCACGCACGCACACGCACCCGGCTTGAGTTTTAAGCCACCGGGTCCGGGACGCAAACTACATAGGAGTCCAGCGACATAGCCATTACGCCAACTGCTGGTTCCCAACACCCTGACTTTTCATCTACCCTCTGCTAACAAAAACGGGGGTAGGGTTGATGGGACTTTAGATGACACGTGACAAGGGAATAACTGGTCAAGTTTAGAGAATGTCATCCAAATGCCTTGGCAGGAAACCATGTATACCAATAGTTGCAGTACAGATAAGAAAAGGATGTGCCCGACTATAAAAAGACATCCTGCCCTAACTCCTCTAGCAGACAGGAGGCAACACGGTCAGTTCGCAGTTAAGAGTTTTTAAAGTATTTATTGTTTAATAACTTTTTTCTCCCTTCTGCCCATCCAGCCACTCTTTCGTTCACTTTTCTGATCTTCCTAAAAGTTAAATACATTCTCCTTCTGCATGGAGGGTGAGAAGCAACACTAAAAGCAATACACTTGCTCAGGCTTCATCAGGCGCCATGTCATGGCAGGTGGAATGCTGGTTTCCAACAAGTGAGGTTTGCCTAGGGCGCCACAACGTAGTCCTTTTTCAAGGTCACAGGGACACTCATGGAGTTGAAATGCCGCTGCCCATCTAAATACAACATGGACTCTGAAACAGAAAAGACAATGCTGGAGAAACCTGAAGAACCTTAGAAAATCACCATCCAGGGACCAGCAGTTAGCATAATGGTGATGTCATTGGACTCCCATGTAGTCGACCGCAGTTCACGTCCTGGACCCGGTAGCTTAAAACTCAT